TGTCAAAAGTCCATTGCTTATCATTTAAAGTTATATGACATGTATGTTGCTTATGAATGAGGATTTGGATATGCTTTGTAGAAGGTCTGTTTGTCTGTCTAGCTAGTTATCGATTCAGCTTGATTTCTTTGTGGATCTATAGGAACTATATAGACATTTTGACATCTGGATCAATGATCTAAGACACTTAAGTTTAGGACATAGAAATGGAAGTCAAATGAAACCAGCCGACAATGAAATGCGCTTCCACAAGAACTATCAAACAGCCACTCAATTCCTCTTATTTTACATTCACAAGATATAATGGTAAAATGCCTGAAAGGGAGACAGAGTGATGATGATACAGAGACGACTGTAAGGCGTACAAGCAGAACGAAAAGTCACAGGAAGGGGATGCAGAAGAAAGCAATTCAAGACAAGAAAATCGATGCTCTCTTCATCATAATTCTTTTCAATTATAGAGTCACAAGAATCATCATCAAATGAACATTTTTCTCTATCTTGTGCCTTCATCCTCCATTCTTGGATGAAATTTTATTCCACAATCTTCTTGCTATTCACCATCATCGATATATGTTGCGCGTCTTCATTTTTTAGCGCATTTTTGAAACTTGTTTCTATGTCACTATGTCTGTTCGTTCGGGCGGAGAAAAACTTTTTAACTAGACATCGTAGAGAGTTCTAGTTTGTTTTATTAGCTCAGGTCCATTGTTTTATTTTCGTGAAACGCATTTATAAGTCTTGAAACAGTGTTTTTGTACTATAATTAATGATTTTTATATTTCAAATGAAAAAACACGTGATGAGAGCGTTTAGAAATTCGAATTTACTTCTACCGTTGAAAAATTTTGAATCTCAAAAATCCGTTAAATTACCAAGCCTTTTTATATAAGCATTCATTGTAATTATTTGCTAATTTCACTAAGGGGCCATTCACTTATTACGTAACGCTTTTAGGGGGGGGGGGTCTAAGATTTTGTTACGGTTCAAACAAGGAAATTTTTTTTTCATACAAATTTTGTTACGAGGAGGGGGGGGGGGGGGTCTAAGAAGTCATTTTTTCGCGTTACGTAATAAGTGAACAGCCCCTAAAATGAATGATCTTCTAATCTTCTAATGATCTGTAAATGAACGCAAATTAAATAGATAATCAAATACTGATCACTAACACAAAAATGCGCTTAAGTCCCTCGATCAATAACACGAGGACTTCTGTAATTTTTATTCTTCTTCTATGCTGTGCCATGACTGTAAGTGTATAGCTGTGTACAGATATATATTTTACCCTCATTGATATCAAATTTCGAAGGCATTTTCTCGCATTTTCACATATATATGGCGCCTAAAATGCTGATGAAGTGATTCAACTGTGTGACTTTGAAATTTGATTGCATTGGATATTATTATTATTATTATTTCTTTTCTTCCTTTATACTGTTTATTTATATATTTTGTTTTGAATGGAAAGGAAATAGCGAGAAAAAGAAAGGAAAAGATTTTTTATGTTCCAGTTTTATGTACTTACATTTATCATAAATTACTTCTTCGTTTTATATTTTTTTATTGTGTATGTATATACAGCTATAGCTTTCATATCTGAGTGAGGCAAAAAAAAAGAGGAATTGAATTTCCATAAAGCTGTGAAATCTCTGTTTTCCTTATACATTTCATCTCTCTTAAATCAATGATTTTTTTTCTCCTTTTTCTGTTCATTTTATGTCAGCTTTCTCCTCTGCCTTCTTTTTATGTACAATTTACTTTATTATTATTATTAAATTTGTTTTCATTTTTTTTTAAAAACAAAATTTCCTATTTGTCATGAATTAAGGTCGTAAAGTATGGATTGAGTATTTTAGATGAGCTTTTTTTGGGTTGAAAGCTGTTTCTGTTGAGAATGTTAGTATGCCTAGCTGCTGATTTATTGTCTGAATCGTATTCGTGTTGACATGAAACCTTTAATGACTTAAAACTCTCTGAAATGATTGAGAGATCAGACTCTACTGAAAATCGAGTCCAAGTCTTTACAGATATCCAATATGTTGTCTATCAACTCATTCACAGTATCCTAACTCTTAAACTGTCAGATTCGCCTACAAATGCCTACATGCTTAAGATTCTACTCTTCTCAAACAATAAACTAAGTTTAATATCCATCATTCTTGATTATTATAAATAAAAGATTTATTTATCTGAAGCAATCTGAAGTTTAAAGCAGGGTTGCGATACAGGCACCTGTGCACTGGTGAGAACCGTACAATTCCTTGATAATTTATAAGGTTTTTCTTACAAAACCATACAAATTCGAATAAAACCTCACAAATTATCAAGGAATTGTACGGATCTCACCTCTGCACAGGAGCCTGTATCGCAACCCTGGTTTAAAGAGTTACAATCTTTCCTAATCTCTGGACATCTGTAGTCAAAACACATTGAATGCTGGCTCTATCAAAAAAAATCTAATTTCATCAAGCTACTCACCCACATTCATCCAGTTTCTAAGCAATATCTTTAAATATCATTTGTGGATTTTCTCAGGTTGCATACCTTACATAATGAATATTTTGGCAATTATACTTGATTCCTAAATGATATAGAGAATGCTAATGAATAGCAATGATAATGTAAATGTATGTATAATCATATTTACCATAAGTATATGAATACGAGACCCTTAAAATGTAAAAACCTTCAAACTTCATCTTCTTCCTCATTCTATGTCTCTCAATTTCCTCGTACCCAAAAAAAATTATCCTTCTCACTTTTATATTCTATATCCATGTATATACTCATTTTATATAACATCGAAATGTTCAACTGAAGCGAGAGAAAAGGAGGAAAAAGGTTTGTAAAAGGATGCCTTTTCTCAATAATAACGACATTGTAGCATGGAATTGAGGAGCTTGGGGTGGTAAGGAGAAGAAGAGCTAAAAAATTATATCGAGTCCTTTTGGGGGGGGGAATACAGCTGAAAATATTGCCTTTTATTCTTTAAAATTACACTCCATTATATCTCCGTTCCTGCCATTCTTAAATGGACGATTCCCTACTTTCTTGAATGTTCATACATACAAGTATATGCTAGGCAATTCAATTTTGACTGTGGGGTTAATTTTTTATAAATAATTCAATATCTTTCCACCCACATCTTCATCACCCTTTTGCCATTAAGCTTCCTACAGCAATTCTTAGCTGGATTTTTCAAGGAGCTGTTGTTGTGACTGATTCACTTTGGGGCCATTCACTTATTAAGTAAGTCAAAAATTTATTTTGTTTGAACCAATCACAAAATCTTAGACCCCCAAAATTCAAATTTTAAAAAGCCGTTAAAAAGCAATTGAAAATTTAATGCTTAATGAGGCACAAGTGCTTCTTTGTCACTCACTTCTGGTCACATTCAACATTGCTTCCTGCCCATTCCCACTTTTTTAACTTGTTATTCATCGTCCGCATCATTGAAACACAAAAAAGTGGTGCTCCGAAAATAATAAAGCAACAGAGAGCAAGCAACGGGAAGAGGATGGGTGGTAAAGTGAGATTGACAATATGGTGAAACACGAGGGTGGCTGGCAGGCTTTTGTTTCGGGTTGACAATAATTTTTTAAGTGTCATAATTTTTTGGTTGTTGTTATGCAACGTCCAGTGTCATAATTAAATGTTTTTTTTTGTTCCTTCAACGGTGCCTTCCTTGGTAACAAATTGACTTTCTATCCTTATTTTTTTCTTAGGAAAAATCATTTCATTTTATGGCATTTTTATGTATTTCGCCCAACTTTCTCCGCTTACTTATTATTTTTTTTTTCACAAAAATGTTCTACATGCTGCACATGTATGTATGTATGCCCACACGATTATCTTATATATCTTCTATTACTGTTTTGCTCGCTTCATATTACGACACATTACACACATTACACCTTTCCCTAAAGCACCCATCCACCATAAAAGCTGCTTGCTGATATTTTGTCGAAATTAGATTGTGGCAATTTATACATGGGATGATGGGGGTATGGGTGGATGGATATACATACAAACGTTCTCATTTTCACTTGTGAACCGCAAACAAAATAGCTTTTTCACTTTATTATAGGGTTCGGAAAACCACTAACTGATTATCTACAGTTATCAACTTTTAGATTATCTACACAAAATCTACAGTTATCAACAGTTACTAAACTGTAGATAATTTCTTTGAATGAAGAAAATCCGTTAAAAAAATTTGCAAAGTTTTGTAAACAAACAACTTTTGGAGACTTTTTTAATAAATTTATATATAGAATACACTTATTATACATTAAGAGAGCTCAAATGTCAACATTAGCTACTAAAAATCAACTTTTTGTTTATCGAATATTTGTAACGGTTATATGAAATTCAAATATTGTTCACATGTTTGTAAACAAAAAAAATTTGCGAAAATTTCTTAATTTTCAATTAAATCACCACACAAACGCTTTTAAAATACTGAATGAAGCCTAATGTCACTTTATTTGAACTGTTACATGCTGTTGCAGTCCTGATTTTAGCATTTCAACTCTTTTTTCAGTAAATTAATAACGTTTTTTTCCACTTTGAAAAAATTATCTACAGTTACTTATCTACAGTTACAAATTGTAGATAACTGTAGATAAGTGTTACTAACTGATAATAACTGTAGATTTCCGAACCCTACTTTATTATCTACTGCAAATCTTTTACATCCAAAAATATGCGTGTGCTTGTCTTTACTCTTCTTTTTATATTTATTTTCTTATGCTGCACAAATTAGATGGGTATTCATCATATTTTGTTGAAGGTTTTTAGGGCAAATTCATGATTTTGAGCAACAGATAAAACACTTGAAATTTAACGGTTTTTATGATTTTAAACAATTATCGGTTTTTATGATTTTGAATTCTTGATCTTGTATCCAATTCGCGCACTTGTTTAGCAGTTTAACAAATTTAAATTTGAAATAAAGTTGAAACTTTAACTTTCTAGGAATATTAATAAGATAATTTTAAGGCTGTTATAAACGCATAATCATTATTTTATTAATCTCTTTAATTAATGTATAAAAAAAGAAAAAAAAATATTTGTTCCTTCCAATTCGATCAACTAGCATAGAAAAATAAAGCATAAGGAGTTTTCATAATTGAGTTGAGCATAATTAAAGATATGTATTTACTTCCACCGCGGTCGAGTGTCTTTAGCAGCTTTTGATTCAGGTTTTGTAACTTGACGGACAGGTCTAGTCGATATTGTAGATGTCTTAGCTGTAACAATCTTTGCAGGCACTGGAAATCCACGTTTAACAGGCAATTTGGATGTTGTTGGCTTCTTTTTAGCTTCAGTATCATTTTCAGGTTGCTTCGTAGGCTTTACATTCAATGTCTTGGCTGTTGCGCGAGTAACTGTAATATTTTGTGCCTTTTCAATTTTTCTCAAGCTTCTTGTCATCCTTCCTTCAGTATTTGGTGTTGAAACTTTCGATGGTGGTAAAGTTGACAATCTAGCAGGTGTAGTTTGCATTAAGCTTTGAGTTCGACGTGGTGTAGATGGTGTTTTTGGAGTTGAGACAATTTTAGATTCTTGGGAAGTTGTTGGTGTATTTGGAGCTGATTTTGGCGTAACTGTAATTTTCCTAGCATTTTTTCTCATCGGAGAACTAACTGATGGCGTGTTTGGTGTGGATCTTGAAATTTCCAATTGCCTTTTATTAATCACTGACTTCTTATTTGTTGAAATTGGAGTTGCTGGATATTCTTCATTTTCCTCACTTAATGTATCGACAGAATTTTTAGCTTTTCGACCTCTAATTCCAATTCCTGGACGTTTAACAACTGTTAATGGTGTAGCTGGAGACGGTGGAATAATTTCATCACTTGAAACTTCCTCAGCACTTTCATCTTCAGTCGTTGGAATTTCTGTCAAGTCTACAGCTTGTGTAGCTGGAATATCTTCATGTTCAACATTTGTCTCATTTACTTCAGCATGTTCTTGTGTCGCGGGTATTTCAATGCTTTCACTTAACGTCTCATTCACTTCCAATCTGGATGTGCTGGCATCTAAACATGTTTTAAAAATAACAGTCAAAATTTATTTAAAAAATAACGGTTGAGATAAATTTGAAAAAATTAAGGTTCAAAAAAGTTCAAATGTTGAACAAACGTTAAAAACCCAAAAAACTGTCAGTACTTACCATTATTTGTCGATGTTGTGCTTGTTGTTGGAACTAAATCATTCATTTCAAAATTAACGTCGAGTTTTGTGACATTAACATCAAATTCTTTAAGTTTTACATCAGACATCGATACATCCTGTCCACTAATGTCATTTATTTCCTCTTCAGGCAATTCTTGAATTGTTGGCACTGTCGATTGAGCTTCTTCTTCCTCATTTGGCACTGTTTCTTCCTCGTCAACAGGATTTTCATCTTCTTCATCGTCAATTTGTGTCCTAGCTGTGCTTGAGAATTTTAATGGCGGTCGATAAGTCCCGTTAAGGATCTTGCAAAAGTCTGATAAATATTTCTTGGTACGAACATCAGCAGATGAGTCTTTTAGTAGCTGTTCAACTTGCTTAAACAAGTCCTTTTTCAATAATGGATCTTCACCAATTTCCAATTCCAATAGTTCCTTAGAAAATACTTTGAGGATCTCTTTACTGTCTGGATTGTCTTTCATTAGTTCCACAAACTTCATGCTCAACGTATTGTGTAGATTAAGTCCATTACTACAGAAAATTGGTCTTGTAGCTCCAACAATGTATTTAAGGACAGTCTCAAGCTTCACTTCTCTTAATGGTGAGTCATAAGGAGCTTCAAATAATGTCAAAATTGTTGGAACTAAGGCATCATGCAGCAATTCTTGCTTTTTACGTTTAATTAAATTTTCTAAAAATATTCCCAACAATTGACTAATCTCTGAATCTGTAGCTGGATTAAAATACATTAATAAGAATTTTGAAAGCAATTCTCGTGTGCTGTAAATGCCATGAAGAATCATCTTGCACATTCCATGAATTGTAATTTTAAGGATCTTCTTATCAACACTTTGTTCCATAAGATGTGTAAGCATCTGCATAATGTCAAGTGTCTTTATAATGTACATTTCATCTACAGCATCCTCATCATCTGGATCGATGTCTGTGTATAGAGTACGTCCACCTTTTTTACTTCGATTTTGTGTCATTGATAAGGATGCATCATTATTGTCAAATCCATCCATTTTCTCGACTGAATATCTCAGCAACAGATCAAAAATGCACTCAATTGAGCATTCCCAAAGCAAAACATGGACACTCTTAAAGACTTGAGATTTAAGGATGATGTAAATTTCTTTAGCAATTGATTCATAAAGTAAGCTATAAGCTGTAGCTGTTTTTAATGCCCAAATTCTTGTAGACAAGTCAGTCGACTCGAGATAATAACGGACGAATTCATTGTAAATTTGTAGGACATCATGATTCATGCTTTTAACTCCTTTAGACGTAATTGAGTAGTAACAGATCTTTAAATTCTTAATTATTTCTTGAGGTGTAATTTTTTTAATATTGGCATGTACTGTAAGATTCTCAAGTAACGATTGTGTTGATTCTACTGAATGCTGTTCAGCTATAGGACGTAAAAGATCAATTAATTCTTCATTTAATTTATGATATTGTTCTGAGACTCTCTGACATTCAGCATATTGCTTTCTCTGTACAAGCATAGATTCTTGTTCCTTAAGATCCATCATTTTCAATTTTATGTCGTTTGCCTTAACTTTTCTGTCAATATCTGATTTATTGATTAATTCGTCAATTATGGTTTGTCGACTGTATTCTGATGGTGATCCAGGCTTAACCATTTCGAAAATAATTTTATTAAAATATGTCAAGCGCTGCTCAACTGACGGAATGATCTTTTCAGCTAATTTAGCAATTTCTTGGACAGAAAATTCAGACAGATCAAAATTGGACATTAGTGACTTCAATAATTCCAGCAAGCTATTCTTTCCAACTTCATCGCCTAAATCATAAAGCTGAACAATTTCAAGAAGAGTCACAATGCATTGATTAAAGTACATGCGCTGTAATTTAACTTCATTGTCAGTTCCAAATTTATAGTCATTTATAAATCTATCCACATAGTCACAGAAAACTGACAATTCTGGAATTATGTCTATATTTGACACTGTCTTATTGACAACTTCCTCCTCTTCATCATCTTCGTCAGCTACGTCATTTGGAGCTCCAATATTTTCAGATCTTTTGCCGTCAATATAATCCTGATAGCTTTTTATCGCCATTTTCCAGACAATAAGCTGTTCCAAATTTGTTTTTTCAACATTTATGCAATTCTTATACTCATTATTTTCAGGAAAATCAAGATACGAGACAATATCGCTGATCTTACGCTTCCTGGAAGTAAGTTTAAAATCGTTAGAAATTTTACTTTTTAAACAGCTTCATGAGATTTGAATTTGAACTTGAATTTTGGTCAAAATTTGAACTTTAAAAGGCAGTTAAAATTTAAATCTGAAAAAACCGTTACATTTTGAGAAAAACTTACTTGAAGATTTCACTAAGTGCCATTTCAGCCAAAGTCCTGAACTTTGTCAAATCTTTCTCGGTCGAGTCAAGCTTAATGGCACGAATAAATTCGGCATAATCAAATTCATAAACGCCAATCCAGTTAGACAATAAAACATTAGTAACTGCTTTACGGACCAAATCTGATCGATCATTAAGACCAGCATTTAAAATGGCAATACGATCAACGATTTTATAGCTTCTGACTGAATATGAAGACATTTGTAAGTATGTATGACGACGAACTTTCTCGTCAACATCATGAAGTCGTTCCAAAATAAGCGGAATGTTATAATTCTTTTTGGCGATTGCCGTAATAACGGATTGACGAACCTTAACGGCTGGATCTGATTCCATATGATGGACATAAGCCTTAGTTACTGGATCTTCATTGACATTTTCTGGATCTTGTAGACGCTGTAAAGCTACAATAGCTTGAGCACGTACAATTGGGGATGTATCACGCATAAAGTAAAGCATACGTTCAGTAATCTTCTCAATAATTGTCTCATCCAGTTCAGCCTTTTGTGAGAATGATGTCATGATGCTAGTGACCAAATTACATATCCTAGCACGAATATGTACCTGACTGCTTGTGATCTGCAAGTTAATAAATTATAATGCTTATTGATTAATTATCAATTGCTGTCACTTACACCTAACAGCTCATTGAAGGAACTCTCGACAACTGGATGTGATGCACCAGAATCAGTCACTTCCTCACCATAAGAAGCAATAAAGACGCCAATAAACTTCAGAACTCTCAATGAATACTCATTTCCATCTTCTTGAGTCAAAAATGAACGAAGAGTCATCAGAAATGACTTCATAAAGGATGAATGCTGCATCTAATAAAGATCCAGTAAGAATAAAAAGGAACAACAACAAATTGTAAACATTTACCTTTTTGTATAATTTCTGAAGTTCTGTGAGGCACTTATTGCTGTTACAGTCAGTCTTTTGGACAGACAAAATAATTTTAGCGATATTCAAACCATCGCCAATAAGCCATTCTGGCTGTAACTTTAATTTTTTTGCTGGAGGTAGTGGTTCTTTTGTCTTTTTCGACTTACTTGGTGCTTTAACTTCCGGTTCCTTATTTTCCTGCTCATCCACGGTTACCTTACGTCTTCGAGGCATATTTTCGTTTACTATAAACACTTAATTACAGGAGAATTTATTTATTTTTAATGTTTGTTGTTGTTTTTTGTTGCGTTTTAACGGTTTTTTTGAACAAGGGGAAGATTCTACGAAAAATTGAGGGGAATGACACTAAGTGATCTTTAAATTCAAATTCAATTTTTTTTATTTCAGATAATTTAACGGTTTTAATCAAATCTGTCCATATTCATGTCTCCTTCTTCCTCAGACGCAACAGCTGCTTCTAGTTTCTTCTTTTTAACTTTATTCTTTCTTTTCATTGGTTCTAATGGTGCTTGATTGTTTCCAGTATCTTCACTTTGCGCAATTAAGTCTTTATACTTGAATTCTGGTGGTTCATTCTGTGCCTGTAACTTATTGCTCATAGCAGCTAAAGTAATTAGGACAGCTTCTTCAGTTCTAATTGTTCGTGAACCTTGATCTGGTACGACATTGAAGTATTGGTCAAATAACATGCTTGGATCATCAACAGTCAGGTTGTCATCATTTTCTACAGCATTCTCAAGTCCAAAAATGCCACCGAATACAATAAGCAAGTGGTTGTACTTGAGTGCCTTATTTTCTGTCTCATTTATGTTACTTCCTTTATCACTAGTTCCAATTGTTAAGTCATATCCTTCATCATAAGGCGACTGAGAAAAAACATGGGATATGCTGCTTGCTATTCTTACATTATAGCCCCAATAAATGCCTGTAACACGTCTCGGTTCTGATGGCGACACAATAATTCCTTTAAGCTTCTTAGATTTAAGATCAGAATTTTGTGGAATTTTTACTGTGACTCTTATGCCTTCTGGAAGCTGCTTATCGACAAGAATGTCATTTAACAGACCAACATTAACGAATGAAAATTTTGGATGTGGCTTGTTTGTGACTATACCTTCACGATATAAAAATTCAGAAGTTACACGCAAGTGATGTTGAGAATCAAGTGGATTCAACAGTCCACTAAACTTTAAATCATTATGAATGGGAAAGAAGAACTTCCTTAAATATTGTGGACATTCCAGGTACTGTAAGATTCTAGCAAATTGAATACAACATGGTCTAGCTATTTTAACACCATCTGATGTCTCAATTTGCTGCATTTTAGATGTAGTTACATTATTGGATGGATTATCATCAAACACTATTACTTCATCAATATTATAAATACATGCTGCTCTAGCAATTTGACCTGCTAAATATGTTCTCAATTCTTGTGATTGTGCATTCTCTAAAATTGATCCAGGAACAGCTATCGAAATTGTACTGACACTTTCCTTAATATCACTAGATTTAAGCCTTAATTCCTCTTCTTTTTGAATGATCTTAGCTTTTTCAACCGCTTCTTGATGCTCAACTTGTTTAATCAATAAATCTTGTTTTCTTTTTCGATTCTTCTCCTTCTTTAGTGCTCTTACGTCCATAATTAAGGCTGTATTTAATTAATTTTGTGTAGCAATGTGCGCAAGATAATTATTTGTTTATTTTTTAATTTGAATTTCAAACAGTCGTTATACTAAGATTAAGTTTGGCTATTGTTAAAAGCTTAAAATTGATAAAACACAAGTAAAACTGTTTTTATAAAACGCTGAGTAAGTAATATATTAATTAAGTTAACTACAAAAGCCACAAATACTTAAAAGTCGAAATTTTTGACAGGGGTTTTCAACTTTTCAAACAAATATTTTCCCCTCTCAAAATCAAAACAAGCAAAAAATTTGCAAAAAAAATTTACTTTTTATTAATTAAACTAGCTGTTAAATAGAAATCATGAATATTTTAAGGCCTTTCGTGTGTGTAAGTATAGCATCAATGATTAAACATAAACCATATCATTAATTAATGTCTATTTTTAGAGAAATTTGTTGCGAAACACAGTTAAAATTTCACTCTCAGCAAATTCAGCATTAATTAACATAACTAAGGATTTCTATGGAAATCAGAGATCTTTCCTGCCATACTCAACAGCCAAAATGCTCAGCTCAATGCCGTCAAATGATGGAATCTTGAAGAAGATTGTGAAAAAATTCGTAAAGCAAAACACAAAATCGGTGAGTTAAATTAATTCATTCAAAAGCAACGGTCAAAAAACAAATTTCTACTAACGCTTGTGAAGCATATAATCAGCATAAAATTCTATATTATTCTAGAAACTTTTGAGTGCTGGGGTATTGCTGTATGAGAACATAGCAGATGGAATTAACTATGGAGAGTTCTTTAGTGAATTTGGTATGAAGGATGCATTCAATTCCTGGTTTTTGGTCACTGAACTTCACGTCTGGATGTTGGCATGTCGAGTAATGCAGGAAGGTTCAAATAATAACGAAGATGGTAGATTCTTAAGGAATTGTATAGTCGAAACTATGTGGTCTGATGTACAGACACGATCAAAGAAATTAGGTTCCGATAATCCATCATTTACGAGGAAGCAAGTCACAATCCTTTCAGAGCAATTTCAGGCATGCTTAATATCTTATGACGAAGGCTTATCGTTCGATGACAAAGCATTAGCTAGTGCTCTTTGGAGGAGATTCCTCGAAGCTGAATGTGGGGATTTTGTAAAGCTAGAAACATTAGTCAGATACGTTAGAAGAACAGCACAAATGCTGGATAATTTAGAACGTGACCAGCTTGTGTCTAGTCCTAAAATCGAATGGCTACCATTAAAATAATTAATACAATTGTTAAGCATGTAGAGCAATAGAAATAAATTGAGTTGGATGAGATTTATTTAGTACTAGATTTGGGGGTGGCATGCAGCACCCCACCTCCTTCAAAAAAATTTTCTTTCAGGAAAAACATACAAAAAATTTGATATGAAGAACGAAAAATCTTCGTAGATAGTGAAAAAAATCATTTAATTAGAGTTAAGTTCACTGCTGGTGCCAAAAGATGTTTCCATCAAGTCATTTAATGCATCTGTCATCAAACTACATATTTTGCAAAAGTGCAGCTGTAATTCTTCTATCATTATTAATAGATATTGGTAAAGTAGCAAGTTTGATTCCTTTTACAATATTTAAATGAATTTAATTAACTTTTCAGCATCAAGCAACAAAAATAATTTTAATTCCGTACATCATAGGACAAAGGAAGCAGAAACAAAAGTTAATGATTTATATTGCTATGCTTGTGACATGTTTGATGACGATTGCGTCAATATTAATAATACTATAATGAGGCAAATTGATTTGACCAAGAAATGTTCACAAGAGGAACGATTCTGTTCTGTCAAGAGATTTAGTTATACTATGTCGGATAAGAATTCAACATCCGATAAAAAGTTATGGACATTGCAGAGGAACTGCACACAAAAGTGTGAAAATGAATGTATAATAATTGGAGAACGGATGAAGCTTCATGCATGCCAAACATGTTGCACAACGAGTCTCTGTAATGTTGGATCACATGCTATTAGAATTAAATCACTTGACATCATAGCTACAATCTTCAGCTTCCTTATTGCAATCTTAATTAATTATAGCTGAAAGGAATAAGCAGCAACATTGTATCTTTTTGTTAATCAACGTTTGCATTTATTAAGATTAAATTAATATTAATTCGAGACGTAGAGTTTGATAGACAGGATTAAGATGTTTAATCCTGGGATTAAAAGTTAAATCCATAAGATTGAAATTTAAATCGTGGATTAGTTTTAAATAATCTCAAAGGTGACCAATTAAAACGTGAACTTCCTGCTTGCTTCCAGCACGCACCTTAAGTCTTTTAATTGACACATCTGAACACGACAATTAATTAAAGAAAAGAGATACAGAATTGCTTGTTTAGGCTTCACTGGATCTTGGAAACATGAACATTCAGCTGTTGATCTAGAAGCTTAGACAGGCAGTTCTGATAAAAAGCTTAGTATTAAGTGACAATGATGATTGTACTGTAGATAATGAATAATTAATTTTCATTAAATAACGTTAAACACTAATAAAAATTATCTTTTTTAATAATCTCACAAATCTTTAACAGTTTAAGAGTATGCATCGCAATAATTGGCAGTTAATAAAACTAATGAGATAAGCGTTATGTGCATTAATTAACAAGAAAGAGACTTTACTGGATCTTATTCATTAGTGTTATTAGTTCCATTTTGGCTTGATTGTTGGATTTGAGCAACTTCTCGTCTGATTTGTTGAATGACATTGGCAAGTGCTTGTGGATGAACGCCTGCTTCGCATAGCTGTATGCATATATCCAATGTTTCTGCTGATAATCCAGTATTTAATATATTTGAAATATTTAATAAATTTGTTCTGAGCTCTTGAGAATTTCTTATTTGAGACACATCGTTTGAAGTCTTATCTGGTGCTTGTGACATTTCCAGGCACATCTTAAGATACAATAATTCACTTCAGATTTAATAAACTGTTTTTTCGATTTATTTACTTCTGTTGATGAAAAATGTCTTGCCCCTGGTTTCAAGGGGCTTAAAACTTAAAATTATATTTGGACTAGATTTTTAAATTTCAAATTACCGTTATTTTGAATAAAACTAGGAAGAAGGAAAGATGCTGGGTTATAAGTCCAGAGATTATAAGTCAAGGTACAAAAATCGTGCACAGAAAATTATAAGGCCAGAAAATCAAAGTCATTAAAGGTTTTTAAGTCCAGATACAAATTGCACCTGGACTTAAAAACCTCACGTCCAGTTCATAAGTCCAGGTACAAATACAGCTGGAATTATAAACTGCACGAGAGGTTTTTAGTCCAGGTACATTTTATATCTGGACTTATAAACCTCACGTGTGGTTTATAATTCCAGAAAATTTATAAATTTGTCTTATAATCTCCCAGTGCGATTATAAGTCCAGATACATGTTTCTGGACTTATAATCCTTGAAAATTATTGGAAATTATTTCAAATTTTTTTCTTTAAAGCAATTATTCACATGCATTTCTGAAAACTTCACACAAAGAATTCAATTGAGTTAATTTAACACTAAGAACTGCAGCTTCTAAAATGGTTCCAGTTTTAAGATATGATCCATAGGAAAATAGGTTCCAAAAACGTCAATTTTTTTCGATTTTCAAGAAGTTATAGCATGTCATGGTAAAGTCAAAACATAGTCATATGGAGTATTTTTGTAAAGCTCTTGCTGAGGACTATAAGATAGTATACTATAAGATAAAATATCCAGTTTAAAAAAAACGTTTGATGACGCAAGAATTTTAAGAAAATGACCATTTTTTCCGAAATTTCTATTTTTGACAGCTTCAAAACTACTGAAAATTTGAGAATTTCGAAAAATGACATTCCATTCCTCAAATTGCTTATGTTGTGTGATCAAATGGCAACAGAATTATTTTCCGAGACCCTTATTGCTCGGCTGTGACCCTGATCTCCAAATTTGTAGACCCAAAAAAACGTTTTTTGGCGTTTTGAAGGTATAGATGATGTCCAAATGCACAATGATTCAGAATCGAAAAAAATGTTCAAAAATTCAAAAATTTCATGTTAATTAAACTTTGCCTTTTAAATGCCAGATAAAAGATCTTTCCTTTGTGCATATCCTTTAAAAATATCTCGTTCCTATTTGCTGTCTAACTCCAGAAATCATTAATTTAATCTCACCCAAAATTTGTTTACAATTTGAGTATGAAATAAGAAATGTGATTTTTTCTACTTTAAGTTGTTATTTGGATGTCTTGAAAGCAGTTGCTAGCTAATTTAAGCTTAGCTCTACATATTAAAACAACCAACTCAATAGAAATCTGCTTATTAAGCCTTAAAAATGGAATTGAAATCTGAGTATTTTTACAAAACTTAAACTATTCATAAGTTAAAAAGTCTTCCAAAGACCTCTCTGAAACCTATATAAATCAATTAAATAAGCTTTAATCTATCTCCCATATTACTGAGGACATGCCGTTTGATGCCGTTTTCGAGATATTTGCGATCAAAGTTTACATAAAATTTCATACAAAGTTTGATCATGCACAATATTTTTTGATAAACTTTTACAAACTTTTGATAAAAAAACATGTTTATCCTTTATATTAAGGACTGATTTTTTGAGCAATGAACGAAAATATTATGTAGAAGATGCTAAAAGAATCAAATCAAAAGAAATCAACAAAAACTTTCAATTTTCTAATGTGTCAGAAAAATATTGTGCACAAGGAATTTTTGAACATTTTTTCCGAATCTGAATCATTGTGAAATGTAAAAGTTTATGTACAGAATATATGTTCTTGACATATGTTCTTGACATTCGAAAACATATCTAGGTATTATAAATGATAAAGAATGCTAATATAGATATAAAATCGATATTTTTTTGAAAATAGCCTACTATGATCAAAACCAAAAATGCTTTAAATTGCATTTTAAAACATATCTAGATATTATAAATGATAAAAATGCTAATATAGATATAAAATCGATATTTTTTTGAAAATAGCCTACTATGATCAAAACCAAAAATGCTTTAAATTGCATTTTAAAACATATCTAGGTATTATAAATGATAAAGAATGCTAATATAGATATAAAATCGATATTTTTTTGAAAATAGCCTACTATGATCGAAATCAAAAATGCTTTAAATTGCATTTTAAAACATATCTAGGTATTATAAATGATAAAGAATGCTAATATAGATATAAAATCGATATTTTTTTGAAAATAGCCTACTATGATCGAAACCAAAAATGCTTTAAATTGCATTTTAAAACATATCTAGGTATTATAAATGATAAAGAATGCTAATATAGAGATAAAATCGATATTTTTTTGAAAATAGCCTACTATGATCGAAATCAAAAATGCTTTAAATTGCATTTTAAAACATATCTAGGTATTATAAATGATAAAGAATGCTAATATAGAGATAAAATCGATATTTTTTTGAAAATAGCCTACTATGATCAAAACCAAAAATGCTTTAAATTGCATTTTAAAACATATCTAGGTATTATAAATGATAAAGAATGCTAATATAGAGATAAAATCGATATTTTTTTGAAAATAGCCTACTATGATCAAAACCAAAAATGCTTTAAATTGCATTTTAAATCATATCTAGGTATTATAAATGATAAAAATGCTAATATAGATATAAAATCGATATTTTTTTGAAAATAGCCTACTATGATCGAAATCAAAAATGCTTTAAATTGCATTTTAAAACATATCTAGGTATTATAAATGATAAAGAATGCTAATATAGATATAAAATCGATATTTTTTTGAAAATAGCCTACTATGATCGAAATCAAAAATGCTTTAAATTGCATTTTAAAACATATCTAGGTATTATAAATGATAAAAATGCTAATATAGATATAAAATCGATATTTTTTTGAAAATAGCCTACTATGATCGAAATCAAAAATGCTTTAAATTGCATTTTAAAACATATCTAGATATTATAAATGATAAAAATGCTAATATAGATATAAAATCGATATTTTTTTGAAAATAGCCTACTATGATCGAAATCAAAAATGCTTTAAATTGCATTTTAAAACATATCTAGGTATTATAAATGATAAAAATGCTAATATAGAGCTAAAATCGATATTTTTTTGAAAATAGCCTACTATGATCAAAACCAAAAATGCTTTAAATTGCATTTTAAAACATATCTAGGTATTATAAATGATAAAGAATGCTAATATAGATATAAAATCGATATTTTTTTGAAAATAGCCTACTATGATCGAAACCAAAAATGCTTTAAATTGCATTTTAAAACATATCTAGGTATTATAAATGATAAAGAATGCTAATATAGAGATAAAATCGATATTTTTTTGAAAATAGCCTACTATGATCGAAACCAAAAATGCTTTAAATTGCATTTTAAAACATATCTAGGTATTATAAATGATAAAGAATGCTAATATAGAGATAAAATCGATATTTTTTTGAAAATAGCCTACTATGATCAAAACCAAAAATGCTTTAAATTGCATTTTAAAACATATCTAGGTATTATAAATGATAAAGAATGCTAATATAGATATAAAATCGATATTTTTTTGAAAATAGCCTACTATGATCGAAATCAAAAATGCTTTAAATTGCATTTTAAAACATATCTAGGTATTATAAATGATAAAGAATGCTAATATAGAGATAAAATCGATATTTTTTTGAAAATAGCCTACTATGATCGAAACCAAAAATGCTTTAAATTGCATTTTAAAACATATCTAAGTATTATAAATGATAAAGAATGCTAATATAGAGATAAAATCGATATTTTTTTGAAAATAGCCTACTATGATCAAAACCAAAAATGCTTTAAATTGCATTTTAAAACATATCTAGGTATTATAAATGATAAAGAATGCTAATATAGATATAAAATCGATATTTTTTTGAAAATAGCCTACTATGATCGAAATCAAAAATGCTTTAAATTGCATTTTAAAACATATCTAGGTATTATAAATGATAAAGAATGCTAATATAGAGATAAAATCGATATTTTTTTGAAAATAGCCTACTATGATCGAAACCAAAAATGCTTTAAATTGCATTTTAAAACATATCTAGGTATTATAAATGATAAAGAATGCTAATATAGAGATAAAATCGATATTTTTTTGAAAATAGCCTACTATGATCAAAACCAAAAATGCTTTAAATTGCATTTTAAAACATATCTAGGTATTATAAATGATAAAGAATGCTAATATAGAGATAAAATCGATATTTTTTTTGAAAATAGCCTACTATGATCAAAATCAAAAATGCTTTAAATTGCATTTTAAATCATATCTAGGTATTATAAATGATAAAGAATGCTAATATAGAGATAAAATCGATATTTTTTTGAAAATAGCCTACTATGATCGAAATCAAAAATGCTTTAAATTGCATTTTAAATCATATCTAGATATTATAAATGATAAAAATGCTAATATAGATATAAAATCGATATTTTTTTGAAAAAAGCCTACTATGATCAAAACCAAAAATGCTTTAAATTGCATTTTAAATCATATCTAGGTATTATAAATGATAAAGAATGCTAATATAGAGATAAAATCGATATTTTTTTGAAAATAGCCTACTATGATCGAAATCAAAAATGCTTTAAATTGCATTTTAAAACATATCTAGGTATTATAAATGATAAAAATGCTAATATAGATATAAAATCGATATTTTTTTGAAAATAGCCTACTATGATCGAAATCAAAAATGCTTTAAATTGCATTTTAAATCATATCTAGATATTATAAATGATAAAAATGCTAATATAGATATAAAATCGATATTTTTTTGAAAATAGCCTACTATGATCAAAACCAAAAATGCTTTAAATTGCATTTTAAAACATATCTAGGTATTATAAATGATAAAGAATGCTAATATAGAGATAAAATCGATATTTTTTTGAAAATAGCCTACTATGATCGAAATCAAAAATGCTTTAAATTGCATTTTAAAACATATCTAGGTATTATAAATGATAAAAATGCTAATATAGATATAAAATCGATATTTTTTTGAAAATAGCCTACTATGATCGAAATCAAAAATGCTTTAAATTGCATTTTAAAACATATCTAGGTATTATAAATGATAAAGAATGCTAATATAGAGATAAAATCGATATTTTTTTGAAAATAGCCTACTATGATCGAAACCAAAAATGCTTTAAATTGCATTTTAAAACATATCTAGGTATTATAAATGATAAAGAATGCTAATATAGAGATAAAATCGATATTTTTTTGAAAATAGCCTACTATGATCAAATCCAAAAATGCTTTAAATTGCATTTTAAAACATATCTAGATATTATAAATGATAAAAATGCTAATATAGATATAAAATCGATATTTTTTTGAAAATAGCCTACTATGATCAAAACCAAAAATGCTTTAAATTGCATTTTAAAACATATCTAGGTATTATAAATGATAAAGAATGCTAATATAGATATAAAGTCGATATTTTTTTGAAAATAGCCTACTATGATCAAAACCAAAAATGCTTTAAATTGCATTTTAAAACATATCTAGATATTATAAATGATAAAAATGCTAATATAGATATAAAATCGATATTTTTTTGAAAATAGCCTACTATGATCGGAATCAAAAATGCTTTAAATTGCATTTTAAAACATATCTAGGTATTATAAATGATAAAGAATGCTAATATAGATATAAAATCGATATTTTTTTGAAAATAGCCTACTATGATCGAAACCAAAAATGCTTTAAATTGCATTTTAAAACATATCTAGGTATTATAAATGATAAAGAATGCTAATATAGAGATAAAATCGATATTTTTTTGAAAATAGCCTACTATGATCGAAATCAAAAATGCTTTAAATTGCATTTTAAAACATATCTAGGTATTATAAATGATAAAGAATGCTAATATAGAGATAAAATCGATATTTTTTTGAAAATAGCCTACTATGATCAAAACCAAAAATGCTTTAAATTGCATTTTAAAACATATCTAGGTATTATAAATGATGAAAATGCTAATATAGATATAAAATCGATATTTCTTTGAAAATAGCCTACTACGATCGAAATCAAAAATGCTTTAAATTGCATTTTAAAACATATCTAGGTATTATAAATGATGAAAATGCTAATATAGATATAAAATCGATATTTCTTTGAAAATAGCCTACTATGATCGAAATCAAAAATGCTTTAAATTGCATTTTAAAACATATCTAGGTATTATAAATGATAAAGAATGCTAATATAGAGATAAAATCGATATTTTTTTGAAAATAGCCTACTATGATCGAAATCAAAAATGCTTTAAATTGCATTTTAAAACATATCTAGGTATTATAAATGATAAAGAATGCTAATATAGATATAAAATCGATATTTTTTTGAAAATAGCCTACTATGATCAAAACCAAAAATGCTTTAAATTGCATTTTAAAACATATCTAGGTATTATAAATGATAAAGAATGCTAATATAGAGATAAAATCGATATTTTTTTGAAAAAAGCCTACTATGATCAAAACCAAAAATGCTTTAAATTGCATTTTAAAACATATCTAGGTATTATAAATGATGAAAATGCTAATATAGATATAAAATCGATATTTCTTTGAAAATAGCCTACTACGATCGAAATCAAAAATGCTTTAAATTGCATTTTAAAACATATCTAGGTATTATAAATGATGAAAATGCTAATATAGATATAAAATCGATATTTCTTTGAAAATAGCCTACTACGATCGAAATCAAAAATGCTTTAAATTGCATTTTAAAACATATCTAGGTATTATAAATGATAAAGAATGCTAATATAGATATAAAATCGATATTTTTTTGAAAATAGCCTACTATGATCGAAACCAAAAATGCTTTAAATTGCATTTTAAAACATATCTAGGTATTATAAATGATAAAGAATGCTAATATAGAGATAAAATCGATATTTTTTTGAAAATAGCCTACTATGATCGAAACCAAAAATGCTTTAAATTGCATTTTAAAACATATCTAGGTATTATAAATGATAAAGAATGAAGAATTTATGAGATATGGTGATAGTAAATTTGAGACAAAAAAAAATAAAGATTTTGAATTACGTCAATTTGTTCTTGACGGTTCATTGGAGTTCCACCCAAATTTATTCATGAGCCTGAAACAAAATGTATTCTCTGAAAGAGTCAAGAAATGACAAAAATAAATATTTTGATTAGAATTTTTTACTTTATTGAATAAAAATTGTAAAAATGTACATTAATTTTGCGCAAAACTCTATTAAATTTCTAAAATTCTCGTTATTTTATTTAAGAAAATATTATTATAATAATTATTATTTGTAGAATATAATACTAAAAAATTAGTAGATTTATCAAATTTACAATTAAGACGAAAAAAATATGAATAATTAATTAATGAGTAATTATCGTTCATACTTTTGGTGAATACAAATTAAGTAAGTTAAAATAAGTATGTGGTTTCTCTAAAAAATTAGCAAGTATTAAATGTTAAGTTCTATATATTTTTATTTTTTTCGTTAAAAATTGCGAAAATTCACTCAAGCAAATTTTCACTTCCTCAAATTCCCCAGAAAATGGCACAGTTATTGGCAAAAAAATTATATTTTTTTTTTCGTTCTTAAGTTTTCCCATTCATCGTTAAAAAAATGACAATTAAAAATTGTCGCGTATATAAAAAGAATTAGGCACATTATGTGTAAGTATTTAATGGATGCTAAATTTTATGTAAATTCAAATTGAAATTAATTCGTAAGTATTTTTCTCAATTAATGAATATAAACGACTTTGGGGTCATTTATCAGTGACGTCCATCATTTCATTTCATTGCCAAACAACCCCTCAACCCCCTAAATTGATGAACATCATAAATATTCCATTATTTCTCACCCCAAAAAGGCCACAACATTAAAAAGTTATCAACAATTATCTTCTTCGTCCACAATTTGTTATAAAAAAATTATATTTCTGGCACTTTGTGTATGTCTGCATCTGCATGTGTAAAAAACTTTAAAAAACTTTTTTTATTAACAACAATAAACTGCTAAACTGCTTAGAAGACAGATGTTATATCCTATTGTAGCTTATAATTTCGGCTATCGGACGATGACGATACTTGACGACTCTCCTTTACTTCCATTCGTTGAATGATCTTTTGGTGTGATGACTGTGAGGAACTGCTTGAATGTAGTGTCGATGATTGTCCATTAACTCCGCCATTAACTGGTTGATTCAAAAGTTGGAGTCGTGCAAATTCCTCGTTAAGATTACTGATTGGTTGACCATCTGTGGTTTGGAACGTTCTGGTTTCATATCTACTGGAAAGGTAATAAAATAATTTGATAATCATTATAATCCTCAAAAATGTAATCCTAAGTTTGTGTACTAATTACCTTGTAGTATATCCTTCATAATTTTGTTTACCATCATTTGGTGGAGCAATATTTGTCGTTACTGTCGTTTTAAATGTACTTAATGTATTAACAGGCGAACTCTTTCCAAATGTCTTATCATGTAAATCCTGAACGCATTGCTCTAATCGTGCTTTATCGAATCGCGTATTTAAATTTGGATTGGTAATTGTGGTAGTTTCATAGATGCGATTTTGAATAGGAGAAATTGGCTGTTGTGGGGGAGGAGGGGGCTGTGGTGATGGGGATCCGGAAGACAATATTGAAGAATTGTATGGTTTTGGTACTGCATTAGCTGTTAAAAGATTTGATCTCTTTTGTTGTGTAATTTGTTGATTTATTTGCTGTTGTTGTTCATATGTCGTTGAATTGACTTGATTTTGGAAGTGACTTGGTGATGGACTTGTTGCATTACCTGATCTATTCATATGTGTTGGAGATGGTGAGGTAAATCCTTGTTGTCCTGGATAATAACCGCTAGCACTTGTATTACCACCTTCAAAGTCACTTTCATCAGTTGTATATCCTGCTACGTTTTTTTGTCGATATTTTGCATGACGTATTGCTGTTAATTTATTTCTTGCTTCCTCAAGTTGTCTTTCCATTCGTAACACTTCAGAACGTGCATTAATTTCCTGTGCCATTCCATCAACCATATTTCTATTAAGTTTTAATGTATGTTCCTCTTCGCCCTCAATTGCTGTTTGTGCTGCTCGAACTAAATTGTCTGTTGATTTAATTACAGCATTTCCTGCAGCTTGCAATCTTCGTCCACTCTCTGAATTTGGATCCGATTTTACTTTACATGCAATTAAAAGTTGTGCTGTTGAACTTGCAACTTGTTTAGCGGATGATATAAGCATTTCCTCGGTTCCAACTCCTTGTACAAGATTTTGTGCAGATTCAACAAGACTATGAGTAGCTGCAGCTACAAGTCTTGCCGCCGAAATTAATCCCTCAGACCATTGTCCATCATCCGATGATGTAAGTGGTCTTTTTGCAACTTTTCCTTGATCAATTAATTCACGTTGTGCTGCATTTGCAGCCCGAACTAAAGTTGATGATGCAGCCATTATTCCTTTTGCAGCTTCAAGGATCATCTCATCAAAATTCATATTCTCATCCGTTTGCTATTTATAAATTAATAATTTAAAGGTTAGCAACTGATTTTCAAAAGGATTAAAGCCATGTTAATTATGTATGTATGTATGTATGTCACTAATTTACATTTTACCTTCCACCGACATATGATACTTATAATTATCATTACAAAGAGATGAAATATCGACAAATCACATTAATAATATGTTTGATTCCTGGGTGATGATACAATGCAACAACCAAGAATATCAAACATATCTTAACGTAACAGTCAAGTCACATGCATGTGTAGAGTTTATACCAGTGTTATTATCAGTTCTTCATTCCATTCTTATAAACTTATGTTAATCACTAATTTTACACCATTACCACTTAAATATTATAGTTGATTAAATAATGAATAAACTATCTTACCTTAATGTCAGGATGCCTTCTTGGTCGTAAACTAGCAAGTTTCTTTGCTGCAGCATCAATTGAAGCAGCAGCGCCAAGTAATTCATTTTCAGCAATAACTGTTGGATCTTCAGGATCAACCCAATCGGATCCTTTTAATAATTGTGCCATACTGACTAAGTCTGTAACACATTTAGCAACACGACGTGAATATTGCATACGTTCATCGGCTGAGCAATTTCTTAAAACACCTTCAAGAAGTTCACGATAAGCACTTCCAACTGCACCACCAGCATCAAGAGTTCTTTGTCTTAATTCAGTACTTTCAGCACAATTCCAAGCAACTGATTTACATACAATTAACATTTCAGAAATTGCACGACGTCCAATATTTGCGGCAGCAGTTATATCAGCTTGTAAATTACTTGAACCGGCCGATACTGCCTTTGCAGTTGCTACAGTAACATTTTTGGTAACACGGATTAAATCTTCGGGTGTCGATGGCATTGCGGATGTACGATTCGATTCAGAATATTGCATTGCACGAATTTCTTGTATAATTGCTTCAATTGTTGCTTCCATCGCTCGTGTACCACGCGTATGTTCGTCCTCAACAGCCTTTACAGTTTTCAATAACGATGTCACATTCATAACCATTACCTGTTTCGAATAAAATTAATTATAAGAGCATTAATTAGTGGATTTATTGTTGAAACTCTTTCGTTGGAATTAAAAATTATTTTTGTTGTGCAATCCACAAAAAATGGAACATAAAAACTTTTTTGAGAATTATGAGAAAAAAAAAAGTTTAAAATTCAAATTCGTGACGGCAAAAACACAAAAAACGCAAGAATTTAAAGTTTTTTTTTCGTTAAAATTGTTAAAAAAATGTGTTTAAACTTGCATGAAAGTAAAAAAAAAAATAAAGTAGAGGATGTGATGTGGGAAGTGTTTTTTTTTTTGTATGTGTTAATGTGCAAACTTGCAAAAAAGTCAGTACATATAAAAAGGAAATAGTCAAAAGGTAGTCATTAATTTTTATGTCCCATTTTTTTTATTTTTGGTTGGTGATAATTTATAACCGAAAGTATAATAGGAATCATGATACAGTGAAGCAATGAAATTAAGTTTTTCGCATGAGACCAAAAACCATAAAATATTGAGAATGGAAATGAAAATTATTCCGAGATTTTGAAAGGAAAGCTTAAAAGTCATTCAAATCTGACACAAGCTTTCATATTTTTTGAGATTTAATTTAAAATGATTTTTCCACTTTTAAGGAATAATTTTTAAACATTGGCAATTGACCTTTAAGATATTTTTTAAGCATTACTGAGAACCAAATTTATTAAAGCTGGTTTCTGATGGTTTTAATTATTATTTTCAAAGAGGAAAATTCAAATTTTTAAAAGACCGTTATTTTTCACATTTTGAAAAGTCCGTTATTTTTTTAAATTTAAAAATTTATGACCAAAACCTTCACTTTTTACCATGATTCCCAAAAAAAATAAAAAAATTTAAGAAATTGAAAAAAAAAATAAAAAATTTTGAATTTACCTAGGGAATTTGAAAATGATAATATTTTTTTTTCGAAAGTGGTGCAATGTTTGAATTTAAACTTATTGTCATAAGAAGTAGATGCATAAAAAAGGTTGTATGAAATGATATGTTTTTATACTTTTAATAAGGGATATGGCACTTGATAAATGTCTATCTATGAACACATAATTAAGTTTACAATACAGATAATAGTAACTTGATATGATATGCATTCTAAAAATAAATTGAATAATTTTTTAAATTGTTTGCTGCTTGCTCATTAATTTGCGTCTATTTTCGAAACAGCCTCTAATATGGGCGTTGATATCAGACGTAACAATTGTTCTTCTTTTTCAGGGCGCATGATATTTCTTTTGCCGTCAGCTTTAACCTTAACGATTTAGAACCAAAAAACACAGAGATAGAGATAGATAAAGATTTAGAGATCAAAATTATCTATTTTTTTTCAGGTGTTTGTTTTTGTATATTTTGTGAATACTAAGATAGGTTTTTGTTTAATTATCTGAAAGTTTAGTGATGGTGAAATGTTGTAGAGCAAGGGAAATTTTTTGGGGTTCTTCACAAATGACGTCACCTTAAAAGGATTTGGATTGTAGGTAGCCTATGTCTGTCAAATGCTATGTAGCAGTAAAATAGGGATTAGCACTGTTTCTAGTATAATTTGACATTTTTAAGGAAAGCTATGAATTTTAGATAACTCCTCTACATTCAGTTCAGACGTCATAGGTGAACAGCCCCATTTAATTGTTCTACAATCTTTCATTCTTATATGCTTTTAGTCTTGTTGTGTATTTTTTGATTTAAAATATAGTTTTTATGTATGAAACATGAAACATCTGATACAAGCACAACAATCTTTACTACATATATATCTCAATCTTATGTGAGAGATTAATAGTAAAAAAAAATAAATTCTATATTCTCATTGTGATACTTGAATAGGGTGCATTATTATTTTGATGCTGACATGTGCATCTGTAAGTAAAATTTACAAACATGAAAACATTGTGAGAATTGAAAAGAAAAAAACTTTAAAATTGACTTTAAAAGTTCTTTTTGTACATCCCTCAAGTATCCACTAGAAAAACAGAAATCAACAGCAATAATAGACTACAAGACTTTTACACCATTTATAGAAAATTAATTATTTTTCGTGCAAATCAACAGAACAAATAATAATATAAAAAATAAAGTCATTCTCAATCATTGAGCATCGAATTCATTCAATTTACAATATAAAATATTTTTTTTCATTAAAAAAAATTCTCATCCAAAATAAGTTTAAAAATAAATTTCATTTGAACTCGAGTGCCCTCGTGTAAAATAAATAAAAAGGAACCAACTTTTACAAAAAAAAATTAAATATGCATCATTGGTTAAACGACATATCCTCCATAAAAAAAAGTAATAAAGTATTATCAAGTTCATTCAACTTTTTTTTTTCTGTGCATTTAGTATGGATAATAAAGCGTTAAGGTTATTTGCAGCATAAGAAAGACACTTTTTAAAGTTTCGTAAGTAAGTGGATTAACAGAGAACAATTAGCTTTTTCATTTTATGTTTGTTAGTGCCATAAAAGGGTTAAATAGTAAGGCTTACTTCATATACATTTCAATGCATCACTCTCAAAAATCTTTATATCAAAAAAATGAAATATTTAAAGCAAGTTTGGTTATTTGCCAAGAAAGTAGAAAATTTTACAATGTTTTAGCATGTTAGGAACTTTTATAGCTTTAAAAAATTATATATTGTGTTTATCCGTCACAATAAAAAGAAAGTAGAAGTGAAATTCAAAAAAAAAGAAAAGATTTTTTACATTTTGTATTCCTTAACTTACCTTTGCGCTCTCTTTCAAGTCATTCATGGCTGGATCGTGTATTGGTTTACCAGAAGCCAATTTTGTCGCATTAATCAATTCACCAAGTGCTGCGGCAACATCCTTTACAGCATTCATTACCATAACTTGTGAATCGGATTGTTGAGAACCGAGTGAACTTGCACCTTTCTTTACAGCTTCAGCAAGTTGGACTGTTGAGTTTAAAAAATATTAGGAATATTAAAAGTTTCGTAATTTCAAATTTCGTTAATTTAACAGGCACTCTAATTAAATCAAATCCATTTTTTTTTTCACTTACCAATAGTAGAGACAGCATTTTGTGCAGCACTAGCTAATTGATCTTGAGTACCGGCGGCTCCAGCAACTAAAACTTTTGTATCTTCAACAAGTGCTTTGGCCGTTTTTAAAATATGTTCACGATGGTCCGCAAAATGACCTTCGCCTTCTGAATGTAAAGTTCCAGCAGCAGCAAACATAATTGTTGTGTCCAAATCGCCAATAATTGCAGCAACAGTACTTGATGCATTTATACAAGCTTGTGTACCTCTTGATCCGGCTTGTATTGCGGCCAAAACTTGCGAAACTTTTTCCGAAACATCTCGTGAACCTTTTTGAGTTTCATTTAAACTACTTGCATCATCTTTTCGGACACCAGTTGTTGACTGAATTAAATGTGTTACGGAGCGACCCAAATCTTGGACAGTATTTTTAATTCTAATCGAAATATCAGGCGATGTTGTCAATGATGAGGCTCCAACAGAATCTTGTGCCAATTGTGTATAATGTCTTGTCATTTCAACGCATAATGGAGCCAATTTTGTTGGATCGAAAGCCGCTTTGGCATTAATTTCGTTAGCATGACGAGCAATTTCTTTCGCTGATTGAACCATTCTTGTTTGATAATCAACATATGTATCATTCAATGATGTACCTAAGAATGATTGACGCTTATCAGTTATACGAGATATTGAGCGCGATATTTGTTCAATTAATCCAGTAACTACGCCATTTTCAGTCGATAATCGTTCAACTGTTGCATTTAATTCTATAATTGCTTCCCTCGTTGATTCGACACATTCATCTAATTCCTGATGTAAATGTGCTGCGCGAGGATTTCCGCCGGCTTCTTTTGCAACTTGCACTAATTGAATTGAACTCTCTACAATTGATTTTGCCTGATCGATTAGAAGAGATTGTTGACCCGAATGAATAACGAGTGATGATGCACCAATTGTTCCCGTTGTTAATGGAATAATATGTCTAGAAATTTGAGTTACAGCATGTCCTAATGTTTCGGCATTTTTCTTTGCAGATGATTTTACTGGTTCTAATTTATCAATCAATTCACTTGCAGCATTTAATACCTGTCCAGTATAACCTTGTAAATTATTATCCTTTTTAGGTGGAAGTCCTTCAATTCCAATTGCCATTGATGTTGCATTCAATTCTCTAGCACACGAGTTAAGACTTTCAATAACTGATTCACACTGTAATTGGCCCGGTGCTTTTTCACGAATACTTGAAGCAAGTTTTTTAATTGATTCAGATACTGATTTACTATGAATTGCAAGTTGTTGCCAAATTGGAGGATCTGTTGGGGTCACTGCTAAAACTTTTGCTGTCTTTACCATTTCAACTGCGCCATCTAAAATTCCACGTCCTGCATTTAATATCGGTTCTTGTGCTCTTCTTCCATCGGATGATATTTTTGCGGGTATTGAAACAAATTCTGGTGAGGATGCAAATTGACACAAAGAACTGACGGCATCCAATAATGGTTCGGTGGCTTTTGAACATCTCATTCTTGATGCGGGACTATAATCTTGATCAAGAGCTTTGATTTCACGCACTAATGATGCTGTCGAATTTGCTACATCTTTTGCTGCTTGAACAAAATGTCTCTTAGCAACAGGATTTTGTGTATTTGAACTTGCATTTCTACAAGCATTACATAATGCTGAAGTATGTTTTGCAATAATTGTAGCGGCTGATAATACTTGTTGTTGTGTACTTGTTGGTCCTTTTAAAACATCACAACTTTGACGGATAGCGTGAGAGGCACGAGCAAAAGCTGATGAATCAACTAAGCCAGGACGTCCTGAAGTACTTGTTGGATTTGAAACACCAACGAGATATGCAGCTTGTGCAGCAGATTCAATTAATCCACGAATAGATTCAGAAACAGAATTAACAGCGTGTCCGAATTCAACATGTTGAGAATGTTTTGCATTATTTGCAATACCTGTCATTCCATCTCCTAATGTTCTACTCTTATCCATGACAGTTTCTAAACAATCATAATATCCTTGATCAGTCAATGCTTCTTGGGGCGATTCGAGTAATGGTCTCAATGATTCAATCGATCTTATTGCATTGTCACATTCTTTTTGCCCCGGAGCTGATTGTGTGCAGACATCGACAAGTTTATTTATACTTTCAGTAACGAGACGTGCAGCTGTAGCTAATTCATTTTTAGAATTTGGATATGCAGTATCAGCTGCAACATTTCTAGCGGTTCCTAACAAGCTCGTACTTTGATTTGTTACTCCACGAAGTGAATCAACAATGATGACACGATTATGTTCTTCTTGTGTCTGCCCAGCCATTTCTAAAGTAACAGTTAAAAGCTCTTTATAAGCACCACAAAAATCTTGACTTGTATTTGCCAATTGAATTGGACTCGAATAAGCTTGAGCAACTCTTCCACCAGCGGTACTCAAATTATTTGCTGCTGTTTTCAAGTCAGTTTGAAGATGTCCGAATGGTCTTGATGGTGGTGGATATTGTCCTTCATCAAGAATTTGTCTCAATTCAGTAATGGTTTCGTATGCTTCATTAATATCCTTTAAACCTGGAAGACAATCTTGAGTCTTTGCAAGTGAATTCTTTACTCGCTTAGCACTTACATAAAGATTATCTTGATTTCCAAGGTTTTGTAATGTTCTTTGTGCTTCTTCAATCAATCTTATTGATTCAATAATAACTTCATCAGCACAGTCAATTACCATTGGATTTTTATTTGTTGCAACAACACCACGAACTGATTTTGTGAATTCACCAAGAGCTAAGGCAGTATCTCTACCTGCTACACCGGCATATGAACTGTTTCCTTGAGTGACTGCAGATAATAATTGAACAATTGCGACATCAACTCCATTACTGGTCGTTCCAAGAAGTTTGAAAGATCCATCTTCTGTCTCACCAGGCAAAGGACGTAATGAGCCATCTCGTGCAGCACGTTTTGTATCAGCAAGAACATTTCTCAAATTTTTAACAGCATCAATTGCTGATTCCAATTCATTTCCACCGCAAGCTTCACGTGCCCTTTGAGCAGCGGATCTTAATTCGTGAATTGAATGATTTAAAGTGATGGAAGACTTACTTAAATGCGTAGCTGAATTATGGTCACGGACAGTTGGTTGAAGATTTCTGGCTGAAGCAGCAACTTGAGTTCCTGGCTCCAAAAATTGTTCAGAAGCTTCAATCAATCCAAATTGAGCTGATAAATCATCTGGATGTGCCAAAGTATTTTTAACACCTGATACTAATCTTGGAATTTGTTCTGCAACGGCTTGACAATCTTGAATCAATATTTCTTTTGTTTGAATATCTTCGCTATAATTAGTGGCATTTTGTGCAGCACTAATACATTGTGTGGCTGATGAAGCAGCTTGCTTAGCACATTGTTCTAAACGTTGAATTAATTTACGTTTCATGGCTGGTGTTTTTGCTGTTGTTGCAGTTATATCACGCAATTCTTCAGCAGCATGACGCAAAGCTTCTTGATGTGCCGATTCATGAGGTGAACTTGCGCAAAGACGAGCAGCTTCGACCATTTTGGCTGTAGCATCTGCTAGTTGTTTTGCAGCTGCCAACAAACGTCTTTGAATTTCTGAATCTTCATTACGTTCTGCTTCACCTTTGATTGATTTTATTAATTCTGCTGTGGCTTGGCCAAGTGCCTTTGCTTGACGTATCATTTCTTGGGGATCACTTGATGATACCAAAATATCAGTTGCAACGAGAACATTATCGACAGGATTTTCATCTTCTACTCGGACTGCACGTTCACGAGAACATACTCGAATGTGTTCTAATAAATCAGATAATGACCTTGATACTTCTTTTGCTGCAGACATCAAATCACCCTTTAGTTCATGATTATCGGACGCTTCGTTACAAACTTCTACAAGTACAGTTACAGCTTTAGCAACTTCACGAGCGGCTGCTTCCAATTGTTCACGACAAGCTGGTGATTGAATTGTAGGAGCAACGACACGAGCACATGCAACTAATTGACTTGTGGCCAAAGCACATTGACTAGCGGCACCAATTACTATTTATTGAAATAAATTAATAATTAATATTTTAACTTTAAAAATTAAATTAATAAAATTACGGTAAAAAATCTATTTTTGCCCTAATGAAACAATAAAAAAGAGTCAGGAGATTTTATGTACCTTTATTTCTGGTAGCCTCATCCTCACATTCAGAAGCGATAGACTTAGCTTTCAATACCAAAGCAGCTGTAGTATTAGCCACAGCCTTAGCTAATGCTAGCAACATATCATGAAGCTCTCTACTAGAATCATCTTCCTCTCCAATCGTCGATAAAACTTGACCAGACGCTTCACCAACACGACTAGCAGCATTAAACAAGTTTTGACGTGGATCTTTAGCTTCAGGCTCAGCAGCTTTTAACAAATCACTAAATGCATTGCATAATTTTCTTGTAGCTTCTAATAATTTATCACCATTAAAGTCATCATCCATTAATGCTGCAATTAATCTAACTTCCTTGGTGACTTCTGGAATTGATTGGGCAATTTGTGACACAGCAGCGCCAACAGCATCATGATCAACATCTTCAGCATTTGCAGCTGTGACTACTTGTGCTGTAGCTGCATTCATATTTGACAAATGACTTGTAACAGTTTGTTTTGATGTTTCTAAAGTTTCTTCACGCCATTGCATAGATCCAGGATCAGTTCCAAGTGGCGGTAAGGCAGCTCTTGTTTCAAGATCGCGTTCAGCTTTGCTGATTGCTTCTTGACCAGCCGAAATATATCCGAGTAAGGCACGTTGTGGTTCCGTCAAAATCGTACTGACATGAGTTGTTTGAAGCTATATAGTAATTTAAAGGATTTATTATTATCATGCTTAATCTCACGTTTAAAGTTTGTCTTATAATGAAGTAAAAATTATAAGTATAAGATTTTTTTTCACCTACGCCTTTCACTTTTCTCATATAAACTGCTGCAAATGTCAGCATGAAATAAGAATGGAGAAAAAGTTTTTTTTGTTCTTATAAAACATGTCATTTACATAAAGAAATTTTGAATAATAAAAATCCTCTTCAGATGTCAAGTGAAGAGAAGAGAAGAGTAAGAAGAAGTCTTATAAGGAAGGGAAATAGAATAAAAGAAGTTGTGAATCAAAAACTCAACAAATCATGAAAGTGAAGGCAAGCTAATGTTTAAAGGTGCGTGTGTGCAGATGTAAAACTTATAAGCATATAATTAGCGATAAAAATAAAATAATAATTTGCGAACTATTCTTACCATTGGCGGTTGATGAGCTAAATTAACTTGACCAACAATAGCACCAAATTGTGCTGAATTCATTTCGCCAGTTGTGAATGTACGTGATGCTTTATACATATTTTGTAAAAAAAAAATTAAATGCAAAACATAATTAAATGAATAAAATGTGAAAAATAAGGAGAATACTAAATTATAATAAAATAAGGAGGGAAGCGATTATTTGAATAATAGGATTAGGCGACTTACCATCAACTCCGCGAATTAATACAGGCTTATAAATTGATTCCTCATTTACTTTTCCAACTTTTGTAATTTCTTGTTGAATAATTGAGGCTCTGTAAAAGATTTACAATGACTTAATAAGTACGTATTTCTCCGAATTAGTTATGCAAGAGTGGCTAGAGATTCTTTTGTTTCCCAAAACTTTATATTAATTCAGTTGTAAGGATTGAATCAAAAGAACCTTGAAACAATAAGTTTAAAGACTTACTTGAACGGAGCAACACTTTCTTCAACCATAGTTGATCCTTCATCGCCCTCAATTCCGAAATGATCCTTACTTTTCTTCTTCTTCAAAATGATGTCAATATAGCCAGCAATAAGTTGTACAATTTGCTCGGCTTCAGTTGTTTGAACGGAATAATATTGATCAGCATAATCACCAAAATCGAGTGTGAATGTATTTGGTGATGCACCCCAACGACGAACTGTAGTCAATGGCCATGTTTTAAGAATTTCTTTTGTCTTCTCATCTAAACGTAACACGGAGTCTTTTGTGACTCCCAACAAACGAGGCACCAATTTGTTTTTTCCATGCATTTTCTCCTTTACAAGGAAAAATGTAACACCATAAGTTGGTAATTCACGAGCTGATTTTGTATATAAAACTTTTGCATCGAGTTCACTGACACCAATGTGTTTACGATGTTCTGCAAACACTTTCTTTTCGATGTTTTTTACTCGTACATATGAGCTTGGTAAAAATTCCTTTAAGCTATTTAAAGAAATAGAATTTAAAGATAGATTTCACATAAATTAAGCTATAGAGCTATATCAACTCACTCCAAAAATCCTTGCTTATGTTTTGCTTCTATGTAGTCACCGAATTGTATATGGACTTGTACGCCAGCAAATTCACATGCTTTATCTTGTGTAATCGGATGTGTACCATTTAAAATGGCATCTCTGGCTTGGACATATAACAAATTCAATTGAACGGGATCTGTTGAGTCGATATTTTGGTCCGAGAAGAAATATTTTCGACGCAATAAGACCGTTTCACTCTCATCAATTCCTTGTTCACGAAGAGTTTTGCTATTGTCAACCCAATTGATTTCATCATCGGTCTTCAATTTCTTCCTCAAGCTTTCCATTTTAGTATCACGATCACGTTCTCCAGTCAATTTACGTCTCAATGTTAATGTACCGAAATTCGATTTATTATCTGGCTGATTTTCGTTTTGTGACTCTTGCTCTTCACGAACCAAGCCGTACTCATCATGATTTGTTATGCCGATTTTTGTACAAATGACAACCATCAATTGTGTGACTGGCTGTGAATCATCGACCAGAATAGTTTTAACAGCACCATCAAGCATTCGAACTCTTAATGTTCTCAACTTTCTTCGATATTCCAATACATCTAAATTACGAAGTAAGTAATATCCAAGATTGCGTCCCGGTTCTAGCCAAACTCCTTGGCGACTATCTTCGTCTGACAAGAACAATCCATATTCCATGGCTGTTAATTAAAATCAAAAATGAAGGAATATTAAAATCAAGTATTTTTGGAATTCAATTTCAATCTTCTTCTTTAATTAAATTTTCTAAATTTATTTACCTTGTCCTTGAACAGCTTCTGCAAACTTGTCTCGAATAATGCGACATGCATCGAATACTGATGTGTTTGGATCAAATTGAATTGTTTTTGTGACTCGTCCTCCTTCCAAGCTGATCCGCAATGAAAGTTGTGCGGCCATGATTTAGAAACTATAATTATAACAATTAAGAAAATGACTTTTAGTTATAAAGTTTTACAAGCAAGCTTATAAATCAGTTGAAGAAGAAGAAGAAGGGAATCATTAAGTGATTGACATAAAAAAGTTTATGAAAAGATTTATTTTTTTTTTCACAAGTTACATTTTAGTCACTTGAACAAGTTGTTTAAATTTTCCATTTCCATTCAACAACGATGATGATGCTCTTTTCAGTGCCTTTTTAATTTTTTTTTCTATCAAAAGAAAAAGACGATAAATATGCCTTTTTTTTCTCTCGACAACCGGAAGTGTCAACATCATCGTCTCTATTCAATAGAAGAACAAGAAGAAGGAGACGAAGGAAAAAATTATGAACCAGAAAGGATGTTGTCGACCCATTTAACAAGGTGAACAAATGATGAGCTTTTTTTTTCTCTTTTATTTACAGCGTTTGTCAACAATCGAGGATAAAAAAAAAATAAAAAAGTTGGAGAAGGTGGAATGATGAACAACAAGAATATTTAAATTACTATCATCCTGAAAGGATGCGAATGCTTTTCAACAGATTGTTGAGTTTTAACAGCCTTTGGCTTATTTCACCACAATAACCGCATATAAGAAACTATAAATGAGGAATGGGATGCATGGCAAAAAAGTGTAAGCAACAAACCGATGCTCCTTTATTTTGTGTTATTTGCGGATTATTTTCTACACAATGATTTATAAATCCCCTCCTGACAATAAAAATTATTTAATATGTCATCTTATGGGAAATGGGAACAAGAGTTGGGTTTTTCAAGATGTCATCTGAATATGGTAGATTGAAAATTACGAGAGAATTTAAGGAATTTATTAAAGATTTTTGCGTGAATAGAAAACTTTATTTTTCAATTTTATAGGGGAAATACTTCAAAAAATGCTCAAATGTAGGCATGAAACAGAAAAGCTTTAATCATCATTTAATATTATGTGCCGTAAACAAAAGATAAACAAGATGAAACCTCAAATTGAAAATTATCGTTCGAAAAAGTTTTTTAATCTCTGAGCGTTAATAAGATTTAAAACAAAGTTCGCAGTTCCACTCCCACCTGTATAAAATTATCGTAAAGAATTCCTTGACAACTAGTAAAATTCTTTGTAGTATCGAATTCCATACAAATTTTCATAATCCGTTAAAATTAATAACAAGTTTCTATCTCAAGGAATTGGAATTTTCAAAAAATATGTCAAAATTTTTATTTTGTAAGTCTTTAGTAAATGACGGGTGTTAACAATAACCCTTTCCTTCCTGTGCTCTCACTTGAAAATTCAACAAAAATCAAGACACACCCCAACATTTTCTTCAAACTTAAAGAAAATTCCTAAAGTTTCACAAGAATTAACGACAATTTAATCGATACCTAAAAGACATATTGAGATTTTTGAGTCTAATATTTTAGAGATTAATTTTTTTTTTTTGCTGCTATTTCCTCTCGACTTCATCTTTTCTTACAAATCTTAATGCCATTCAATGGATGTTGATTCAAACAAAAGAAATATCACAAGAGGGAGGAATTTTCAATTATAAGATAATGTGCCTAACGACATAAAGAAGTAGAGGCAGAAATTTGATCCATACTATTCCAATAATCGTATTTGGAACATCACATCACATTAATGGATTATTAATAAATTTGAGAATATGTTGTGCTCCATCACTTTGTCATTATTATTATCAGTATTATTACTCTTATTATTCTTAACTTGATGAGAAACAAGGAAATTAAAGAAGCATAGAAAAATTATTAAGACCAAAAAAAGTTTTCTTCCTTCACAAAAAAAAAGTATTTTCTTTCTTCCTCATAGATAGGCACAGAGAAGCACAAGTAAATATAAATATGATGGTAGTTGATTGATTAGATTATAGGAAATTTCTATGTTTTTATGCTGTTAATTAATATTTTTTTTTCGGAAGAGCATTAATAATTATTGTAAATCTCATTCAAAGAACGTAAAAATTCAAGCATCATGATATGATTGAAGATCAAGAGAGCATAAAAAAGGTATTTTCATTTCTAGTGTTTCTCACTTCCGCCTACAACATAATTCATTCTAGTCATAATTACATCCTCGAGAGCATGGTAACAATATAAATAAATCGTTAGATTTAAGGAGACAGAGACATAGAAATGAGAAGAAAAACTGTGTAAGATAAAAAAGTAAATCATAATAATTGCCATGCCGTTAGAATTGCTAACGACTACCTCGCATTCCTATGTTCATGTTCACTTGGATTATCAAATAAAAATGTGTATTGTATGATAAAATATTAGCTCCACGAATATGACACATCAGTTACTGTCTTTCACTTTTATTATTGTATGTGTGCGATGGCATTCGTATTATTAATATAAAAAATTTCATAACTCTCTCTCTCGTTGTCATCCCTTGCTCACAAAACGACGAGATAATAATAAAATAAAACTTATAGGTTAAAGTGCAATGGATTTCTCCTTTTTTTCTCTAGCAAGTTGACTTGAGAATTAAGTCAGAGATAAAAATTATTTTTTTTTCTACCCCAAGAAATTGCTTGATATTAAGGATTCCTCTTAGGCGACAAATCTTCTCATATTCCTTTTTGTGGACTCATAAAACCATCATGAACAGAAATTCGCCATCATTTTCATGTGTTTCTCTTAAAAGAGTGTCATAAATTTAATGCTTAAAGCTCTTCTATAACGAATAAAGTTCCATTTATTCAGAATCATCCCTTCTATGTCTCTCATTCTACTTACATTCGATTCTTATCTTTACATTTGTATTTCTTATTATAGACTTTTCTCATTCTCTGTTATTAGTAATATTGGTTACTAATGGGAGACAATTGATAATTCAGAGCTCATCGATATGCCAGAACATATGTGAACAACACTCATTTATCTTGTTTTAATTGATTATGGTTACGCAGCACTGCTCATGAATAAATCTTTACTTCATCAAAATTAAACTTGAGCTTAACATAAATCCTGCGTTGAATTTATTACCGACAATTCTCAAGAAATTGTAGCAAATTAAAATTTAATTCTAGCATCGACACTGTATCAATTGATGTGAGACACACTTCAATAAGTTTCAGCAAGGCTGATTCATAAGAGAAAATCAATATGAAAATTTATATCATGCAGGTGCTTATTCGCATACACAACTATGAAAATCTATCATATTCTTATGTCTATACAGCATTGAATGTTCATGAGCACATAGAATTTTGTAAATAATTCTTGAAAACATATTTTGCCATAGATTAAATGTCCATAATCATTTTGCATAACATTGCAGGTGCAAGTGTATATCTTAATTGAAATCATACTTAAATCATTTTAATCAGCTTATAACCTAAGTGAAAATTTACCTATTTTCAATCACCTCATGATAAAACAAGTGAAAATAAAAATAATTTTTTTTAAATGACTGAAAATAAATTTTAACTCAGCACAATTTGTGAATGACTTGAACAAGTCATAGGGAGGAGGTGATATTTTTTGATTAATGGATTTTTCATTTCATTCCACTTCATTCAAATCAGTTTCTCTGTGTTCTCTTTTTCCATAGACACATAAAACTTTATTAGCAACATTTTTATTTTATTTTAATGCTTAAACAGATCCACTTAATTTGTATGAGTAGGATCTGTAACTCAATTATACGACGGAAGTTTGTTGAAGGGGTATTAGTGCGAAGTTTTCGATAGATTGTTGTGGTTTTGGATATGTGATATTGTCACTATTGCTAGGTAGAATGAAAAATATGTTTTGAGGTATGAATATCCTTCAAGCACGTAATGAAAGATTGAGGTTAGGTTGATAATTCTAGTCATCATATTCAAAATGAGAAGATAGTAACCAAAATGCGTCCTATCCACCACCCACTCACACTTTACTGTTTAAAAAGACTCTCGAAGAGAAATTTTAAGCTTTAAATTGAAACAATCAATCAAAGCTCCGTGTTACTTGTCTGACTCTACTGTTAAGTCTCTACCATTCACACGATAAACATGGAAATAAATTTTTCCCCTCAGACTTTCCATCAACATAAAGAAACCGAAATAAAAAATATTAAGCTCATTAGAGGGAGTAGAAAAAGCTTCTGTGAGGCATTTAATTTCAATTTACAATAAACATTTCTCTCTATTTCTTCCATACTAAATCTACTTTATGATACAAAAAAATTAAATTCATATCATGCCGTTTGTAATCTTTTCTACGTGATGTTTTGTAGCCACTTCAAGGATCTCGTTGCTGTGTTGATTTTTGGAAACTTTTTTCAATTTTTGTTCAGTTTGAGGATGGAATTAATTGGATTCCTGCTTACTGTCCGTGCAGCGATAGTTCATGATGCAAAAAAAAGCTACACAAAAGTCAATCTTTTTTCCATAGCTGCACAGATTCTATGTCATGTACATAAGAAACCTAATTAAATACAATTTGAACATAGCATATCCACCCATTCCTCTTTACAATAATTTTTCAATAAAAGGGAAAGAAATGTACTTTAATGTGAGAAATGGCAGTTTTTTTACATCAATCTCTTTACAGCTTAGAGAAAGTAAAAAATAATTTTCAAGTGAGGGTTTCCATGACAACGTTGTAATAAATATAACTTTGTTCTCCTCATCCACATAACAGAAATGCACCCTCGCACTCTCTCTTTCTCTCGAATTCACGTTACTCTAATTTCTCAAATATCAGAAGCAAATATCCCTTGCATATAAATACATTGATATTGTTTGCTTCTCAAACTAATACAATCAAATAAATTTTATACACTTTTTGCCACATTTTTCTTTAATATGTATCGTCATTTGAAGCTCTCTTCTCACCAGCATAATGTTAAATGTTGGTGGTAGAATGACAGAAAAAAGAAAGAAAGTAAGCAAGTGAAAAAATGGGGTAAAGTGAGAACAAAAGAAATGAAAATTTTCTGTGTTGCTTCGACGTCAAGCTCGGGGAGAAAAATGAATGCGGTTTAGTGAAT